TATGAGATAGGCGCAACACTATAATAGCTAAGATAGGAGGCCTGTGAGGTGGGTGCAACATTATAATAGCAAAGATAGGACGCTTGTGAGGTTGGTGCAACACTAACATAGTTAAGATAGGAAGCCCATGAGATGGGCGCAACACTATAATAGCAAATTTAGGAGGCCCGTGTAGTGGGAGCACATTGGTACCCAGAAGTTTGACAATATATCTCCTCCTCTACAGTCAGCTTTCAGGAATGACAATTGTTTGAAAAGTGTGGAAATAAAAAAGTGACTTCATTTTTTATGTGATATTGAAATGTTTATTATAATGAGATTATTTCTCCCACTCTAATAAAATTTGCAGGGTAAGACTTACATTATTTAATTTCCATCTCTGCTTTTTACATCGATCTTTATATAATTAAAATAATATAAATGAATTCTCACAATAAGCAATGTTAAAGTGCTTGTGACTTATTCAACATGTTCAAGGTACATGAATATGGCAGTTTCTGAATGCATAAAATAATGGCAGAAGAGATCAATGTACACATGTAGACATTATATGCAATTTTTCGGCTTGTAGCCAATCAGTACATGATACATACACAAATTAATTTTTATGATTTTATTAGTTAAATTGCAAAGAAAATAAAGAAAAGAATGATTTTGTACAAAACTTATTGGTACAATGTACATCTTTCCAAATGTATTTCATTATAAATTTAGTCTTAATCTATTTTATATTTTGTTTTTCAAACAAACAAGAGACCCAGAGGGCCTGTATCGCTCATCTGGATTTGTTCAAAGTATTTGATATGAGGTAAAGATATACCACTCAACGGTAGGTACTGTCTGTACATATGAAATTTCAGAAAGGTCCATCCATTATTTCTCGAGATATAGCGAGAACAAATTTTAAATGACAAAATCCAAGATGGTGGCCTGGTAGCCATCTTGTTATAATGAATACAATATCATAGTAACAGGCACTACTAGACAACTTGATGGTGGATATAATCCCTTAAACCCTATAGATGAAAAAGGATTTCAGGGGGGGGGGGGGGGGGGGGCACACCCATCCTTTATACAAAATTGAGTACCCTTGGACCAAGGATCCCCCAGACTAAATAGGGATAAAATCCCTTTATCCCTACGCTAGTAGAAGGATTTTAAAAAGTTTTACCTCTATTTCCCCACCCCCCTTGGGTCACTCTCCTCTGCCCCCAGTGAAGGCCAAACCCATCGTTTATACAAAAATAGAGTTCCCTTGGCCCAAGGATACTCCAGATCAAATTGGGATGAAGTCCCTTAATGGTAGAAAAAGGATTTTAAAGGTTTACCTCTATTTCCCCATTGGGCCTTGCTCCTCTAGATCTGCCCCCAGCTAGAGGGGCCACACCCGCCGTTTATACAAAGTTGAGTGTTCTTGGCCCATGGATGCTCCAGACTAAATTTAGTTAAAATCCAGTTAGCTGTTAAGGACTAGTAGCGTTTTAAACGAAAAGTTGATGGACGGACGGACGGACGATATGACAGTGTATCTCCCGTAATCACCAAGCAAAAGCAAAAGGGATCATTGACTGTTCAGAAAGGACCATTTACAAAAATAGTTTTGACAGTATATGCCCCATACTGCCAATAGCAGATAAGATACATTCCATACATTAGACATTTAACATTACAGTTGATATATACCTATTTCTTCTTTATAATACCTGGGGTAACATGGACTGCTGCTTCATCAAGTAAACAAATAATCAATATAAAATCTCGTTCTACCACCACCCGTTAAACCACCACCCTTGCCTACCGCCAACATTTTGAGAGGAACAGATTTTTTCCCTCTGAAATATCTCTGTTAAACCGCCAAACTCGCATACAGCCATCTCGTTTGAAAAACAATAGTGCTAAAACACTATGTGAACCCCTCGTTATCTATTGCCTCCGTCCAGGTTATTACTTGAAAGTGAGTTTAACTAGTGTTGTCACAAGTGCATGGACATGTTACTATGGTGATTTGCGGTGATTCCCTTGTTATACCGCCAACCTCAATATACCGCCAAAATTGCAAAGAACAGAAGGTCGCCGTTTATCGAGGTTTTACTGTACCAGCTGAGCTTTAAACAAATGTTAAACTTAACTTCATTCTTCATATTACCTTAACAAGGAATCTGGGGGCACAAGCCAACAGCTTCTGATTTTACACGAGTACATTATGTACTGAAGTATAGGTAAACCACAAAAGAACAATAAAGTCATGAGAATTACTTTTTGTGAATCAGATGTAAAAATTCACCAATCTAAATTCATCAGCTCAGCAAAAGCAGCCTTATCAAACCTTTTTAAAAAGTTTGTCAGGGTAGAAAGGGGACTTATAAACATGAACAATATAGACTACAGTAAATTGAAAAACAAAAGTTATGATGCACATGAAGTGGTGAAATGGTTAAATTGTTGTAAGCAGATACCCAATTGTAACTCCGGTTACTGTACAATTTCCAAGGCTGAGCTGCCCATTCTCAATTGTTGACTCACTGAAGACCACCTCAGCTCTTTAAATATGTATGTGCTTTACAATATGTTAATATAAATGTTCAATACGAGTAACCTCAAAAGATGTAATAATCCTAGCAATAACTAAAACATGTATATGGAGCTCAAGCTCATACCCATACAGTTAAACCTATACCATTGGCATATATATTTTCACGCACTCAAATTTTAGTATAGTATCAAACTTTAACAAGAGGCCCAGAGGTCCTGTATCGCTCACCTGGATATCTAAGCAAACATGGCAAAATATTCTCCAATTGAGATCCAAGGGAATATGCCAGACCCCAAGGCCAATCCAGGATCAATTATAATATCATGACTGCATTCGTCTCTTTTTGCCCAGCATTTGTATTTATAGTTTTGGGGTGGGGATCTCAACCATTTCTAAGTTATAACCCAGCGGTTAAGTCTGCAAAGGTGGGGCAGACCCTGGGATCAATTCTAAAATCATGACTGCATTCGTCTCTTTATGCCCAACAATTGTATACATAGTTTTGGGGTGGGGATCTTAACCATTTCAAAGTTATGACCCAGGGGTTAAGTCTCCAAGGGTGGGGCAGACCCCAAGGCCATCCTGGAAGCATATGTGCATTCATTTCTTTATACTTAGCAATTGTTTATATGGTTATAGGGTGGGGATCTCAACTGCTTCAAAGCTGTGACTAAGAAACTAGGTCCCTAAGGGTTCAGTCAGACCGCAGGGTCTATTCTATTATCATGACTGCATTCGTCTCTTTATGCCCAGCATTTGTTTATATAGTTTTGGGGAGGGGATCTCAACCGTTTCAAAGTTATGACCCAGGGACTATGTCTCCAAGGGTGGGGCCAGACCCTAGAGCCAACCTGGAAGCAACTGTGCATTCTTCTCTTCATACTCAGCAATTGTATATATGGTTATACGGTGGGGATCTCAACCATTTCCAAGTGATAAACTTATTTTGGCCCCACCCCTTTTGGCCATGGGGGGTCAGCCCCACCATTTGTATAATTTTGAATCCCCACCTCCTAGGGATGCTTCCAGTGAAATATGGTTGATATCCATCTCTTAGTTCCAGAGAAGAAGTCGCTTAAGGCAATACATGTATAGCCAAATTGCCTGCTTTTGGCCCCGCCCCTCAGCCCCCTGGGGGGTCAGCCCCACCATTTGTACAATTTTGAATCCCTACCACCTAGGAATGCTTCCAGTCAAAATTAGTTAAATTCCAATCAGTGGTTAAGAAGAAGAAGTCGTTTAAAGAAATTGTTGACAGACGGATGACGGACAGACGGACACCATGGTATGGCATAAGCTCACCTTGGTCCTACAGACCCGGTGAGCTAATAAATTAGCGCATTGATAAATTGGTGCTAAAATAAGTGCTAAAATATGACTACCGCTAAAATGTGTTTACTTACAGTAGTACAACGACGTGACAATACCAAAGTTGGAACACTTTTTTATGATTATATATAAATGTTTCTTATTTAGCTTTTGGAGCACTATGACAGTATGCTCTCTTATCTAATAAATCTGTTATATAATTGAAAATATGAAACATTGGAGAAATTGATGGAATTGATGTAAGAGAAAGCAATTGAATTGATGTCAAATAAAAGTGAAAGAGTGAAAGACAGACTGTTGAGGACATTAAGGTGTTATTGTGAGAGAATGTAGGAATTGGGATGTTGATGATGGGAGGACATTTTATGCATTTCTTGGGACTATCACCAGCATGTGTGTCTATTTAGAGACCTCATTACGTCAATTCAATTGAATAGAAAATATCTAAGTTTTACAAATGTGACAACAATTTTGATGCTTTCGCCCCATACCATTTCCAAGGAATTTTCTTCATTTCATTTTTTTAAATTTTCCATTGAGCTCAAGTGCAAAATATATGAGACCAGCAGATAAACTTGTTCCAGTCGCTTACATTATTTCAAATCTTTATAAAGATAGATACCATTCATCTATATTGCAAAATAAAAAATGATGTGTCATATATTTAAAACGTGTTCCAATTTGGGTAGAGTTCCATTTTGGGTACCATCATGTAACAGTTAAAGTTAAAGTTGAACAATATAAGTTAAAGCTATGATTCTACAACAAAATGCATTAAAATACATTACATGAATGGGAGGTGAGGGGTCAAAAGGGGCTGCTAATTAAGGCTCCCTGCATTTCCATTAGGCAGAGTTCTGGTTAGGGGTCTAGAAGTGGGGCACTCCCAGTGTTAATATCAAGTTGATATTTAAAACACATGTATAAGGATAGGCTGCGCATGTTTTCCCTAGCCAAAAGGGAATTATTTTCAACCAGGCGCTAGCTGCTGTAGGAGAAATATGTAAAACCATGTGCTATGGTGCCCAACACGTTCAAAATCTAACATAAGAATAGATAACCAAATCAAAACCATCAAAGTGAACAATATGGTGGATGGGTAGATGTAAAAAGACTAGGAGAAAATAAATTGAATTACTTCTTTCCAATTTTTTTTTGGAAAACTTTCCTCATTGTGGTGGCAGATGTTTGACTGCAATCCTCGTCTGCATTCAAATATGGCATCTTCTTCACCATTTCAACTGTCACTGCCAGGCATTCTTTTCCAAGTACAGTTTTAATGTAACTGTCAGCTTCACTGAAAGTAAATTGACTATGAAAGATACAAACACTATAGTATGATATCTTACATAATGTCACGTACATACCAGGATTTAATTATGAACACCCCACATGACTGCAGGGCAACTCTTTGCATTTTGAACTGCATATATATACCAATAAAGGAAGCACAGAATGTTTGGTTATGTGTGAATTTATTAGATGGTACGGTTGTCAGTGAAGTCATTTAAATGGTAACCTTGATACATCAATTATGATTTTTTATAAGATTATATATATGTTTGTTAAAAGTTATCAATTTGTTAAAAAAGTAACTGCCTAAGTCAAATGATCATTATGCAACAAAATTCTAGCCTGTGACAGCATTCATACTGTTATAAATGCATGCAGTTCCTATTTACCAGTTATATTTGGTACAGATACAGAGATGGTCCATTACAAATGTTCTGTTCATATACGTACTAAGGGCTTTGTGTCATCCGGTCTTGAAGTTCCTTACATGCTCCTTTGATTGATCCCCATTTCGTAAATATACTGTAGAATAAAAAAAATACCTACACATAGTACTTTATTCTTTCATTCAATCTTGTCTAGCAACCTTAACAACATTTCAATTTAAAATATGCTACAAAAGTATGATGAGAGAAATTAAATACTGCAATGAGAACTTGCACTTAAAACATCAGGCCCCATCCTTTTAAACACCTCAACTCTTAAAGGGGCATCACGGTGAAGTAACTATTTTTTGTGTCTTTTTTTCAAATACTACATAAACATATCAAGTGAGACTCCTGATGGAAAATAACGATCGGATTTGGCTGAAACAGATTCATAAAAATGATTAAATCTAAGATAATCATCGGTATTTCTACCTGACTGACCAACGTTTTGTTCAGGGATTTTCCTCTATTAGCGCATGCGCATTGCACACCATTTCTTTGTAAACAAAATGACTGACCGTGTGAAGTAAGCCAAAGAAAAGTGTTGTACCGTGTCAGCTACGAAGCGAAAAGTTGCCAAATGATCAAAAGATAGCACACGGAGTACGTTACAGAATCATTATTACAGGTGGGAAGTATTCAAAGGAGAAAATAACTGCCCTAGCAGTAAGTACGGTGTATGTATTCTTCCAGGTAGCAAGTTAAGCTGAAATGGAATCGACAGAAATGCTAGCGCTGTTTATGTTATGAATAAATATCTAAAACTATTTACCTCGCTAGTATCTTTGTCTGAGTTTGAACACAGCTAGATGAACTTAGTTTAATATGTCAATGGGCATGTATCGGAGAGAGTTTACTTTGTATTTCTATAATTATACAGTGGTTTATGCGAAAGGAAGGGATAAGTGACTGGTTAGTTTGATTTTGTCATGAGGCCCTCCAAGGGTTAACTGTTGTGATAGCCACGGCGTATTCTGTCTCTGTCGGTATTCGTGATAGGGGTCAAATGAGATACGTGCGCTTTTTGATTTACATAATTTATAATATTACCGGGTTCAGTAAAATGGTATGATTTAATTATATTGCTGAATTAAACGATTTTTTGTTTGTTTTTACATACAAGATTTAAATTAGTACTAATATGAATACCCGGCTTCCTCTGGCGCAACGACGCAATATATACAAAAAAAACTCTCGTCGTCAGAAAGCTACATTAATGCAGCTATAGAGTAAAAATGTCAAAATGACGGGCCAGGTTGAAGAACTGAGGAAGGAGAACCTACTTCTAGTAAATAGGATCGCATAACATTTTTTTTAAATCGTAATATTTCAACAGTTCATGTTTTCATATGTTGTTGACTTAGAATGTATGATCATGTAACAACCTGTTCTCTATAAAGAATTAATCTTCGACTTCAGATAGAATCGGAATACGTATTGAAAACAGGGGAAGAAACATCTGTTTACGTTGTAAAAATGACGTGTGCTGCCGATAACTACGCTTCTGTTTCGGACAAAAATGAAATGTTAAAGAAAACTTGGCTCAACATAAAAAGGGTCCATTGACAAGAATGCTTTAATCTATGAAAAGTATTGAAAAAATATAATTATCAAGTAGCCCATATCTGACACATATTCTACATATACACGTAGTGGTTTTGCCATACAGTTTAGTGTGTGTGATGGCTAATATGACTTACTAAGAGTTAGCGTATGGAGACGGTGAAAGTGGGAAAGAGAGTATACATATTTGTTTATGCATGGTATAGAAAAAAAACATTGGCCAAAGATATTGAGTTGTACAATGTCATAAAACAAATCACAAACGTTTCTCTTTTTTTATACGCGTGTAGTTTGTCATTGCATATATGCACTTTATGAAAACATTTGAAAAGGGATATTCGTCTCGTGAATATTCCTTTTTACAGAAAGGTTTGTCCCATGGTTGAAGAAAGGTGTTTAGCCCCGTACAGATGTCACATTCCGGTACTAAATTCAATATATATTTATATTTTTTATACTTTATGTTTATGCCTATTATCATTGTTGACATTTAATTGTAAATGTATGACGGGAGAAGGCTGTGATAAATTGTAAAAACGTGTGCCCCATCCCTTGTTCAATTTTATTGGCAAGAAATATGTTTATAAGCTAAATAAATTTAAATTCTGAATATTGGCAAGTGTGCAATTAACTTCTAATGATAAATAACTACTGTTCAATAAGCTTTAATATGGACTTAGAAATCATATTACTTGGTTTCATAGTGCGGTAAGAAGTTGCAGTTGCCTGACGCCCCTCTCTGGGGGCCCCTTTGGAAACCGTTTCATCTCGCCCAGACCGCTCTTGTTTACTGCCTAGTCGGGTGACGTGACCGGCCCTATTTTTAGCAGGGCTTTCCTGAACAATTCAAGTGGTCAAACTGGACATTTGGAACATGGGGATAGCGAGGTAACATAAGTGGAAGTGCATACAATACATACATTCATAAAAAAAATATGGTCATTACAATACAACAGTTATTACCAAGTTCCAATGTCCTCATAAAAACCTCTCTCAATCCACTGTTCCACAGAATGCTGCACCTAAGGTAAATAAATACATGGTATAAGCATATATACTGACTTTATGTCTCTGATCTTAGCTATTATAGTGTTGCGCCCACCTCACGGGCCTCCTATCTTAGCTATTATAGTGTTGCGCCCTCCCCACGGCCCTCCTATCTTAGCTATTATAGTGTTGCGACCACCTCATGGGCCTCCTATCTTAGCTATTATAGGGTTGCGCCCACCTCACGGGCCTCCTCTCTTAGCTATTATAGTGTTGCGCCCCCCTCTCGGGCCTCTTATCTTAGCTATTATAGTGTTGCGCCCACCTCACGGGACTCCTATCTTAGCTATTATAGTGTTGTGCCCACCTCACGGGCCTCCTATCTTAGCTATTAAAGTGTTGCACCCACCTCACGAGCCTCCTATCTTAGCAATTAAAGTGTTGCGCCCACCTCACGGGCCTCCTATCTTAGCTATTATAGTGTTGCGCCCACATCATGGGCGTCCTATCTTAGCTATTATAGTGTTGCGCCCACCTCATGGGCCTCCTATCTTAGCTATTATAGTTTTACGCCCACCTCATCCTCCTATCTCTGCTATTATAGTGTTGGGCCCACCCCACAGGCCTCCTATCTTAGCTATTATAGTGTTACGCCCACCTCAAGCTCCTATCTTAGCTATTATAGTGTTGCGCCCACCTCATGGGCGTCCTATCTTAGCTATTATAGTGTTGCGCCCACCTCATGGGCCTCCTATCTTAGCTATTATAGTGTTACGCCCAACTCATCCTCCTATCTCTGCTATTATAGTGTTGGGCCCACCCCACAGGCCTCCTATCTTAGCTATTATAATGTTGGGCCCATCTCACGGACCTCCTATCTTAGCTATTATAATGTTGGGCCCACCTCACAGGCCTTCTATCTTAGCTGTTATAGTGTTGCATCCACTACACTGGCCTCTCATATTTGCTATTATAACAGTATAGACCTATCTGGTGGTGTTGACCTAGCAGGCCTCCTACTTGTGACAGAGGCCTTGCTGACATATGCATTCTTTTCTTTTTAATATAGATAGATCTATAGAACACCCTTTTTATATTACCTGTTGTTTCTGTGTCTTGGCCCTTTTATGCCCTTTTCCATACTGGCACTGTCTGATAACATGCCTTCCTAAGGCAAATGCAGGACCAGTAATGGATAAACCTTTGTGGGTCCACAGCAGGCGACCAACAGCTTCTGGCTTCCTTGCTTTGTCATCATGCCTATAAAAATATTTTACACTCATAACAAATCAACTTTTAAAGCTTTGAGATGTGAAAATACCTTTAGTAAATCAACATTGTGTAAATGATTTAAGTTAATTCTTTGAAATAGATATAACAATAGAAATGGAATTTTCATATTCAGTGGGTGGAATGTGCCAGTTATTTTCTATGCTTTTTTATAACTCAGCCACTTACCTATACATTATACTACTCTACACGAATATATATGTCAAGAGTACAGATGATTGTTTTTCCCTCTATATTCAGAGGATGTGTCAATGATCTAGAGCATCCACTCAGGTCAAAAGGGGATATTTCGAATTTCCTTTTAAATCTTAATTAAGCTATGATGTAAAAGTTAGACCGTGCATTGTTATGGATCATCATGTGCCATGGCTATCTAAATGGGTCTAACTAATTTGCGCCATAGGAGATTTAGCGCCATAGGTGCGCCATAGGATTTTTGCACGCCATAGCAAAATGTTTTATCCACGAAATATTTCGATTATTCCTCATTTAACATGTTTTGGTAAAGTATCATTTAAAAAAATGTGTACTTTGTTAGAAAATCATTCTTGATTACGAAGCACTTTTACACTAATTTGCGCCATACATGTTTTTTCACGCCATAGCTAAATATAAGAATCATTTTCAGCAAATAACTGTGTTTTTCCTTTGGTGTATGCAATAAACAGGTTGTGGTAAAGTTTCATTCTTAAAAAATGTTTATTTTGTTAGGAAATCAATTATAATCTTTATTGAATTCACCAATTATACATCTAAATCTACACAGCACATTTGAATACAGAACACATTTTTGCACACAATGTTATACATTGTCCACATCCACAGTCTATCTAAAAGTCACACACTTAAAGTACACAGGTTTGATAACATTGTCTCTATTACCACTGGCTGCAATGTTCCCATCGTCAAGGCGGTACAGTTTCATCGCAGCCCGTAGGTACTTAGGTACATCTAGGGTAATGATGTCCCAGTACTTGTCTCTAAATACTATTTGGGTTAGGCACTGTCTTCGTTTGTGGGGTTTTAACTCTACTGTATTTTTAAATCTTAAATCTATATCTCCATTTTCTTCAATATAGAATCTCAAAAAAAGTATTTCTCCATTTGATAGCTGCAATTCCTTCGTTATAATCTTTTCATACATTTCATAACTTTTTTATTTATAATTGATTAATGATGATTAACTGATGATGGAGTGGTGATGGTGAACACTGGTTCATATGATCAGCCCTAAAGAAAACACTATTAATTGGTTGCTGAGAGATACTGTCATAGTGACCTTAAGGTAAGAAACTTTTATTGTATTATAGGCCAGATATTGCAAATGAATTCCTTTACTAGATCATGAATAAGTAAATGGTGATAATGGTAAATACCAAATAAATACTGGAAAGAAATTTAAATTAAACTAAAACAGATGTTAATAATTTATATAAATTTAAATTAAACTTAAACAGATGTTAATAAATTAATATTATTTTAAATTGCAGGTTCCTGGCACTATCCGATTCTTCGGCAAGTGCGGCATGCGTGCTGGTTCGATCCCAAAACATCTACTGGTGGACCCGATTGCCTACAACCCAGATATTGTAGTCATCCAACTAGGAGGAAACGACATTGCAGCGACATCATCCCCCAATGACATTTTCCAGACACTACTCAAACTACAAACGGACCTACAGACTGCTGGAATCAAGGAGGTGTACTTTACCGAGATAGTGCCACGTGGAAATTTTGACAAGTCCCCAGGCCTGACAGCGACATCTTTTGATAAACAACGCAACAAGATCAACCGACTCATGAAGACCAGACTCAACAACAACAAGCTGTGAGTGAAATTTCAACAAGACTATGACTGTGACCTAGTTCATTTCAACAACTCAGGACTCCGGACCCAGTTCCTTTCTCTACGATGACCATTTTTCAGTTGTTGACAATTTGTAGGATGTATGTTTTATTAATTTTGCAATTATGTATTACGGTGTGAAATAGTGTGTTGTTGAATTTAATAAAGATTTGAATACATAGATGTTTTCGTTTTTTCATCTTAATAGAATTTTATTGATTGTATGTAAAAGTATTAAAAATAGAACCGAGATGAAATATTTAAGAGTAATTAATATTTCCATTAAAGATCTAGCTATATTACTTATTTTTAATGTAAGAGTATGTAATAAAGTGTTGTAAATAATTTCTAAAATGTGTGAGATTTACATGAAATATGTTCATGCCCAATCATTTTGAATTTTAATTAATTTCTGTTTCAGAGCTGTGTGTAAATTATTCTATGTTTGTACTCATAAATAAATTGTGTTATACATGTGTAATTAATTAATATTTTCATTGTCTTTAATGTTTTTGTAATTTATTCTATGTTTGCATTCATAAATAAAATAAAATCCAGTCAAGTACTAGTCTATGGCGTATTTTGCAAATGTACGAGTTACTTCCCTTGAAATTGACTTCTGAATTGCGAAGAAATATTTTGTCGATTTCCTAACAAAATAAACATTTTTTTAAGAATGAAACTTTACCACAACCTGTTTATTGTATATACCAAAGGAAAAACACAGTTATTTGCTGAAAATAATTCTTATGTTTTGCTATGGCGTGTAAAAACACGTATGGCGCAAATTATAAAAAATATAAACGATCGCGTTAATGAGATATTAAAATATCTCTATATGCCTGGTACGGGGTTTTGGGCCGGGAACGGGAGCGGCGTACAAGATTTACCTACCACCCATTTTTTTTTAAATGATACTTTACCAAAACATGTTAAATGAGTATACCAATGGAAAAATCGAAATATTTCGTGGATAAAACACTTACATTTTGCTATGGCGTGCAAAAGCTCCTATGGCGCACCTATGGCGCTAAATCTCCTATGGCGCAAATTAGTGTGACCGATCTAAATGGCCATACGTAAATGTACAAGTCATGACAGACACTAACCATGATACAAACTGTGTACCGGTCTGCAGCCGATGTGCTTCAAGTACATTGTCAAGCCGTTGTTGAGTTGTAACCAATCCTTCTGTATGATCCACTCCTTTCAATGTGACATTGAACCCCTCAACTGATTCTGCCATCCGTATCTGTATCTGTATCTACATGTATATTATTACTTTACCTAGTGATGTTGTTGATTACATCCATTAAGTGCAAAGTGTTCTTTGGTTTCATTATTAAGTCATTATTATTATTATCATTAAGTTGTTAGTATCATTAGAATGTCCCGGCTACAAACGTGTGATCGATCAAAACGAAAGAAGAAAACAATGTCGCGGCTACACACGTGTGCTTGATCAAAATGAAAGTAGATGACGTCATCATATATTGTGTAGCCGAGTTATCACATTTTTGAAGACGTGAAAAAAGATAAACTTGTACTACATTTGGAAATGTTTTAATTACCTGTGTGAAATATAAGAAATATTCATGATTTGTTTTAAATAAATCAATATAAGATGTATAAAATGAAACAACTGCAACAAAACATTCAGACATAACCTGAATTATACAGACGTGTTAAATTATGGGTCATGTGATGTGTATTATTTATGTTCGTAAGACCTGGAACTCTTCACATATGGAGATAAAGAATTTCGGCGAATGGCGTCTGAAAGAAACGTTTTCATGCAGGTAAAATTGAGAAACGAAACAACTCGTGTAATCGAATTTTAATCACCGTATAGCCAGTTCCTAGTTGTTAACGTGTTGAAAATACATATGCACGACAATAAATAACAACACTTTTGCTGATGATGGCAAAGTTGCAATCACAAAAGTTCGATTATCATGTTCAATTATATACAGTCATATATTTGTTATTTGATGACAGTCAGTCATTCTGATTAATGACCGTGTAATTACACAAAGATATGTCTGGCAGGTTCACTGAAAAGAGGTTAACAACACCAATTTAAAGCACCTAACAAATCCATGGGGAGAGGTTATGGGTTCACAGGAACCACTGTAACCACGACTTCGATAGCATTTTTTTTTGTAATTCTGGGCTGTAACTCTAGACGTAATGGAGGATGCTATTACCAACAGAGTTATACGGTCATCGATAATAATTACAAATCCTTTCCAATCGTGCTGCATATATAAACAAAGCTCCAGCCAATCTATGGAATAAAAACCAAAAAGAGATGAGGACAAGTGAGATAAATACCTATTCATGGGCCCATGAATGTCATGATAATGTGGGGTAGACTAAATTTGCCTATGAAAAAGTATTAATGTAGGTGTTATCTAGATGCTAACGAACACAAGTGCTAGAGTAAGGGTACCTGATTTTGTAAACTAAACGTTTTTATTTATTTTTTAAACGATCATTCGATGGAGGCATAAAATCGTTCCAACAGCAAACCACCGTGCCACTATACTATCGTCCTTCTTCGGTGAAGCTTCATATAGAATTTCCAGCCTCGTTTTCAAAACATAACTAGCGAGTCGAGCTGTTGTCTGCAGAATGGGCTTATGAATGTAACTTTGAAGCATTATTAAAAACAGAATCTAGACAATTTTCTTTTGATCATTTTGAGATCATTTCAATAAAATAATATTTTGCCATTTACATTAAAAATATCAAAAAGAAGCTCAAATATTATAAATAACAGCATTTTGTAACGTACATGCACACTCAATGACAGGGCATCTATCGTAGGGAACAGTCTTTATTTTGAAACTGATCTAAAATATTTGTTTATTTTTGGCCTTAAAAACCTTCTGGAGAATTGAAATTGTTTTGTAAAACATCCAATGAAATAATTGCTACTAGAATATGTATACATGTAGTTGATATTTTTCCACAAAAAGATTGATGTCACCACCAACAAAGAACACGTTATTAAAAAAACTCATAGTTTGTTCAAAAACATTTCTGGTCTCTGAAAATCACCAATGAAATATATTGAATTCATTCAACATATACTTATATTCGCTTTATTTACTAAGAATAGCACATTTGTAGAGTGTACGAAATCCCGTCCCCCACTGTCGTGAAACGTGGAAGTAAATGATGGTAAAAGAAAGATCTCCTGTGCAGTAAATTTCTGCGCATACGACGTCACATTACCAAATATAGCACAGATTGTGTACATCTTTTAGGTTCAAAGTAGATCCGATCTTCTTGGAGATGTATTTGAAAGAAAAAAAGATGTAAATATTTGTCAAAGTGTACGAAATCAGGTACCCTCACTCTACCTTGAAATAAGCAGTGCATGTATTGGATGATTCCCACTTACAATTTTAATACATAAACTTTCATTTGGCAGATTAAACTGTGATATGATGAAGTGTGTATTTGGAAAAAGAAAAATTGACATAATTTCTATCCACATGCGTTAAATTGTGAAATTGTGAAAACACTCACAAACATCATAAGGATTTGTCAAATCAAAAAATGTTGCATATTAGTTCATTTGATGTGCATACCTTTTTCCAAATAAAACTACAATACTGATTATACAGTATGTAAAATTTGTATTAATGTTTCACAGATGTTGACGTTACTTTTCTGAAGCCATGTATCACAAAGGAGGAGATGGAAAGCCTCGAGGGTTTGGGTTTTCAGGATTTGCACTTGGCAAGAAAACAGATGAAGTGGACCCCACCAAACCTGTGTCTGGTATGGCGGGAATGCCAAGCAATGCAGGTGGCAGGTTCATGCCCGGGAGGTCGTTTGGATACAGTACTAACATAGGCAAACGAAGGGCCAGGAATGAAGACGAGTATGTTCATATTACATGTATTGCTTCTTATATGACAGCTTTACACAACATGTCTAGACATTCAAGTACCCTTATAATTAAGCAGTCCTTGATTTCTTATTGGTTGTTGGTTGTACTGGGTTTAACGTCCTATCAAAAGCAAAGGTAATTTAAGTTTCTTATCCCAACATAGCTGTTTACTCTGTGTTAATACTCTGTTTAAAGATTATCTCTGTTAACAGACCACCTTTGAGCCTTCCCTTAGCCTAGGATATCTCTTTGTTCAGATTTGACTAGTTTATTAGAATGAAAACTGAGACCGACCGCCTAGTTCTGATTACACCCCTAGACAGAAACATTAGCACTTTGACAGGATCAGACTAAGTACCATTGATAAGTAAAATACCAATAACCCTAGCTAAAGCAAATGACTAGGTCCTAAGCCTGTGTAATCCTTATAATTTTCCATTCCAAACTCAAACATTTTATTTTGCTCTGATAGTAACAGCTATCACATGTGTTTACATTTCAATAGAAGAATGCTTAAAAATCCTTCACATCATATGAATTAAATAAATATTTATGAAGAAAAGCAAATCATTTGATTAAAACTAAAAAACAGTGCATTTGTACAAATTCAGTCTAACGGGTTAACATCAGTGATACAATGCAGGATGTCAGAACATGGTTATTTCTGATATATAACTGTTTATTTCTGTGGTCATTAAAGTTACACTTGAACAGGTTTAATTGTATACGGTAATAATCAGGGTTCTGCATCGAAGGGTCTAGCATTGAAGATGCAATGCCCTACAGCAATCTGTCTATCTGAAAGAACAGTTTGTCTGTCTGAATAAATGAAGGAACAAACAAGCAACTTCCTCAGTGACCTCCAAGGAAAGACACAACCTATATAATAAACGGTTTCGAGCAAACCCATGCAAGCACTTTGGAGAAGAGGAAAAATGTATATAGATTAATGAATATTACTGAATCTACTGGTTGGCTGAAGTATTTTGCATACTTTTTTAAAACCATGATCCATAAAGCTTTGAAATTCTTAACATGGGTAATTATTATATATTTGTACATTAGGATGATATAAACTGAAGTCAGTGTGTAGTGAGGATGTCTCTGTGTAACAGGTATTTTGATGACGATGATGAAGAGGGCGACCTTGAGTACCAGCCTGCCCCGGGAAGTCCCACCGCTGACGATAAAAACAAAGAAGACAGTGATAGTGACGATCCGTTAGACGCCTTCATGGCAGACATTGAGGTGGGTCGTTGATGGAACATTGAACAAACTTAAAATCATTTATAGAAGCATCAGTAATATAACCTAAGATTTACTTATGATTTGATGTTACCTACGGTTTACAGTTGCCTAAGATTTGTCTATGACGTTTGTGTTTAAGTATAATGTGATCCTTCCTACGATTTACCAATGATTTAACATCAGCCTACAGTTTTGATTTGATAATTTTACGTACCCTGTGCTTTATCTATGATTTGATTATCCATGTACCTACAATTTATCTATGATTTGATTATCCATGTACCTACAATTTATCTATGATTTGATTATACATGTACCTACAATTTATCTATGATTTGATTATACATGTACCTACAATTTATCTATGATTTGATTATACATGTACCTACATTTTATCTATGAACTGATGTCACCTATGATTTGTCGATAATTGATTTTCAGGAAGAAGTAAAAGGAAAAACGAAAGAAGGCAAGGAGCATAAGGAAAAGACAAAGAAAAATGAAAAGTATGTAAACATTGTTTACTGACTTTTACAGATGTTTTCATTTATATACAGATAGTTATTATCCAGTTACCTTTTTTGTGATCGGGATTTGGATGGATTAAATAAACAGTGTTATTTAGAAAATTTACCATCTGACAATAAGACAACTTAATTGCTGGATTATTGAGGCTGGATTTCTTATGGGGTCCGATGAGCAGGATCTGCATCACTATAATGGGGTTAAATTTGGATTAGTAGGGGTTGGATTATTGGGGACAGGATCATTAAGGACTGCATGTATTTCTAGTGAGGCTGGATTAATGGTGACTTTATTACTAGTGGGGCTGGAAAAGTGGTGACTTTATTACTAGTGGGACTGGAAAAGTGGTGACTTCACTACTAGTGGGGCTGGAAAATTGGTGACTTTACTACTAGTGGGGCTGGAAAAGTGGTGACTTTACTACTAGGGGGGGTGGAAAAGTGGTGTCTTTACTAATAGTGGGGGTGGAAAAGAGGTGACTTCACTACTATTTGGGCTGGAAAAGTGGTGTCTTTACTACTAGTGGGGGGGGAAAAGTGGTGACTTCACTACTATTCGGGCTGGAAAAGTGGTGTCTTTACTAATAGTGGGGTTGGAAAAGCGGTGACTTTACTACTAGCGGGGCTGGAAAAGTGGTGTCTTTACTAATAGTGGGGTTGGAAAAGTAGTGACTTCACTACTATTAGGGCTGGAAAAGTGGTGTCTTTACTACTAGTGGGGTTGGAAAAGTGGTGACTTCACTACTATTGGGGCTGGAAAAGTGGTGACTTTACTAATAGTGGGGCTGGAAAAGTGGTGACTTTACTACTAGTGGGGCTGGAAAAGTGGTGACTTTACTACTAGTGGGGCTGGAAAAGTGGTGACTTTACTACTAGTGGGGCTGGAAAAGTGGTGACTTTACTACTAGTGGGGCTGGAAAAGTGGTGACTTTACTACTAGTGGGGCTGGAGAAGTGGTGACTTTACTACTAGTGGGGCTAGATGTGTGGTGGCTGGATAATTAGTGACTGGATTAATTGGGAGTTGGATTAGTGGGGGCTGGGTAATCAGCAAATGGATTAGGGGTGGATTAGATTAGTGGGGGCTAGATTAGTGGATTAGATTAGTGGGGGCTGGATTAGTGGATTAGATTAGTGGGGGCTGTATTAGTAGATTAGATTAGTGGGGGCTGGATTAGTGGATTAGATTAGTGGGGGCTGGATTAGTGGATTAGATTAGTGGGGGCTAGAGGAAGTGTTGGTTGGATTATTAGGAGCTGTATTAGTGTAAGATTGATTAAGGAGACTTAACTGTATCATGTAATTTTTTAATAGAAACAAACAATGATCTTCAATATGTCCACCCCTACTAGTATGCCTCATAGTGTGTTACTTTGAAAAGAAAGGATGTTTACGATTGATATGTATATTATGATCTTTTGTCATTTCCCTTTCCTGATCTTATTTACGTATTTGATTTTGCCAGTTTTTAATTGTTTGACTAAGTTAGATGATTATTGAGCTGAATGATAGCTTTGAATCATTGCTACCACAGTAAAACATGGTCTTTTGTACACTTACAGAGGAGTGCGAGACGATATTGAAAATGAGGATGTCCAGGAAGCGTTTTTCCGCTACATGGAAGAAAATCCCATGGCTGGTGTTATCCTTGATGAAGATGAGACAGGAATTGAATATGACGCTGATGGGAATCCAATCATACCAGAGAAAAATAAAGTAACCCTAAGTAACAGATTTATATTGTTCTGAACCTTTTCACACTGTTATTTGTGTTAACACTGAATTTATTTTCCTTTATGATTTTGAGGCCAACTGATATACATGTACAATATATATATATATTACAGTATAAACCAAACAACTTTTGATGTTTTGATTTGATTTTCATTGATTTCTTGTTATTTTTCAGCTGATCGATCCTCTGCCACCTATTGATCATTCAGAAATTGATTATTGCAAATTTGAAAAGAATTTCTACCAAGAACATGAAGAGATTTCTAAACTTACACAGACACAGGTGGACGAACTGCGAAATAAACTGGGTCTCAGGGTAGGTCAGCGCTCTACATACCTGAAAATATTGATAGTAAACTTGGTCTCAGGGTAGGTCAGCACTCAACATACCACATAATACTGACAGTAAACTTGGTATCACTGTCTGAACTCAACATTCACATTTACAGCACTGTTACCATCAGAAAATCTTGCTTTCATGTATTTGATTGAGATGAACAAAATTTCCTGAATACTTTATCGATACAGAAATATTAAGATTGTATGAATATTATTTACTTTCTGTCTGCGATTGATTGAGGTAATATAATGTTGGCTCAAATTGTATTGTATGCCTGATTAATATCATTTGCATAGCATACTCAGTAAAGTTTCTTGGGTTTTATGAAGCTTTTAATGTTTGATCACTTAACAATCCAAGTGTTAGATGACGTGTCACAAGTGTTAGATGATATGTCACAAGTGTTAGATGACGTGTCACAAGTGTTAGATGATGTGTCACAAGTATTAGATGACGTGTCACAAGTGTTAGATGACGTGTCACAAGTGTTAGATGACATGTCACAAGTGTTAGATGACATGTCACAAGTGTTAGATGACGTGTCACAAGTGTTAGATGATGTGTCACAAGTGTTAGATGATATGTCACAAGTGTTAGATGACATATGACACTATCTGTCATTGCCATAGCTAGTTAGCAGTCAGCAACGGTCATATATGTAAAATCTATCCGGCCAATATCTGATATTCTAATGGTGACAAAGAACAGTCATTCTAACATGGTAAGGTAACACTCTTACTACATGATCCTAAGAATTCCAACTGTTAAGATTTGATGGCACAAAAGATGAATTGTAGGTGAGAGCACAAAACAAGGAAATCATAAATGTTATTAGATGTGGCATAGCAATTATTTTTCACCAATAAAAGATGCTTTAAGGATCCTCATACCACTGCCAAAAACTGTAACTATGCAGTGATTTTTTTACCCCATTTTTAGTACCGACTTTAGTAACTTTCCCAAAGTGAAGTTTTCCCAATTCTGACCCAATATTTTCCCAATCGCTTGTAAAAATATTAAAGTATGCCTTATAAACTGTTGTACAATGTTGTAGAAGTTTATCTTGGGCATTGAATTCAAGCTTCAAGTTTTGTTTACACATGAGGTTGTTTGAGCGTGATCAAAAACAAAATCCTTAATATCATACATCCATAACATGTCGTAAAATTCCCAATTCATTGTGTCCGCGCAGTAAAATTCCCAATACAAAAAGGCACCAGCCCTCTAGAAAAAAAAAGTTAAAAAATCACTGCTATGCACTGGAAACGGTAACTAGGCACTGGAAACTGTAACTTAGCACTGGAAACTGTAACTAGGCACTGGAAACTGTAACTATGTACTGGAAACTGTAACTATGTACTGGAAACCTGGAAACTGTAACTATGTACTGGAAACTGTAACTATGTACTGGAAAC